GTCCCTAGCAGTAGGTATTCCTCCCTCTGTACCTGAAAGGAGGGTTCCAAGGTGCTGGCAGGGGTAAACACTCTTTGGGGATACCCCACAACAATGATTATAGGATGGATTTGCCCCTCTTTAGGGAAATCACCTGTTTTCTCAAACTCTTCAGCACTAGCTAAAGGGCAGGGTGAGGGGACTGTCCCAATTACTCAATCTGCACTTGGATAAATCTCAAGCTCATCCTCTTCAGATGCCCGAACCCACACTGTCTCACCTGAGCAGGTGGGGCAGGCTCGTTGGAGTCCAAGAAGAGTCTGTCTGCACGGATACAAGAAGAAACGGAAAAGCCCAGAAAACTCACCTTCTTCTCTAGTCCTTATTGCTCCTGGAGTGCATAAAGAAATTTAACCTGTAACAGGGCAGCATTCTTCATGAAAGAAAACCTAATTGCTTGATCCTTACATAAAACCACCATTTTGAATGATGGTATTTTTTTTTCCTCCTAAGAAACTAAATAGTAAGGGAGAATTTTGTTTGTTTGTTTGTTTGTTTTTGTTTTTGTTTTTTTTGAGACAGGATCTCACTATGTAGTGAGACTGACCTGGAACTCACTGTGTAGCCCAGGCTGGTCTCGAAATCACAGCAATCCTCCTGCCTCAGCCTCCCAAGTGCTGAGATTACGGGCATGCGCCACCATGCCCGGCCAAGGGAGAATTTCTTGAAACCTGAGATATGATTGCTTATCTCCAAGTGTTAAAATAAAGATCATTACATATACATCAGAAAAGCCTCCATTTGGGAAAAAGATAATCACAAGTTAGGCTGTCAAATCACAGCTACGGCCACCAAAGAATATGACGGAAGAGCTCTTTTGGTGTGGTCCTGCTGATGCCACTGAGAAAGATGAGTATCACAACTTTCAAAGTATACAGCATTTCTCTCACTGCAGCACATAGGAAATCATCAGATCACTCTTTCCTTTCATTTTCCACCCCATTAATCATTACGTTTATTCATTAACTCAACAGGATTTTGAATATCCACTCTGTTAGACGATGAATATCCACTGTATGCCAGTATAAAGCAATGATAGCAAGTCAGCAACAATAACCATAACACTACCATAATGCTTGCTTATGAGCAAGGCACTAAGTATATACATTCGCTCATTTAATCTTTACATTAATATCCTGGAAAGTATATAATTACGTGCCTATTTTCAAAGGACAAATAGAAAGATCAATTCCACAGGTCACACAGTCAGTGTCAGGCTTCAAACCTGTATCTTTTAACCCTATCATCCATGTGCTTGACCTCTGCACCGCATTTTTTAAAAAATGAGTTCTCAGGGTAATTTCAATATACTGTAGAAGATAGAAAATAAACCTACCAACAACTTGTAATTTTAAACGTTGTTGAGCACTATAAGCAAACGGCAGGACACCATGAGAAGGAAAGATAAAATACTGCAGAGGGTCTCCTGAAGGCTAAGAAATGCCATGATGGTATCTGGTGACTCTCATCTCCTCTGTATGACAAAGTCACACAATGTAAGAAAGCAAGATGGCTAAAACAATTTGGGAACTGAGAAACTAGAAATATTTATAGCTAAATGGATGCACATCGAGTCCATACTCTTAAGTGAAATTAATAAGTCATACATGTGTAAATACCAAATAGTTTCTCTGGTGTGAAAAATTAAAAGTATAGATATGGATCAAAATGTATAACTGATAATGTGAAATAGGAAGAAAAGGTCTAAAAAAAGTAGAGGAAGTGGGCAGGGTAGGGGAAGGTAAAAAGGGAAAAGAAAAATATGTGAAAAGGAAAAATATGGAAACAATGTCTTTGTAAACAGGGAAGGGTGGAGGGAATGAAGGGAGGGCTGGGGAATGGGGAAAAATAAGAATCAAGATAAGTCATGTAAAGGCACAAGATCCCAATGATGAATTTAATTGTACTGTATACCTAAAATGTACCAATAAACTTAATAAAGTTTAAAAAAAAGAAAGAATTTGGGAACTAAGGCTGGTGGTGATTGACTAAACAACTCAGCCCTTATCTCTTGCCACAAAGCCTTACCATCTTGGCGGCCCTTCTTTTGAGGACACTCACAATGAACAGAGACGCGGAATAGGAGGAATGTCACCCAATCCTGTTCTTTTCCCTCCGGAATGAGAAAATCCACCCTGGGTCCAGACGAGTACCTCCTCATCTGCTGCCTTCCACCAAGAAATCCAAGGTAGAGAAAAAAACTTAAATTCTGCTTTAATGTTTTAGTTCATATTAAAAAAGGAAAGATTTACTTGGCCTAAATTAGTGAACACATAGGGTTCTGGAAACAATGGAAGGCAAGATTTATTGGTAGCAAAACAAATAAAACATCTTCATGAGATCTGGCTATTTGTAGATTTGAAAACAGATTGAAATATGGTTTTGCTTCAAGGAAAAGAAATGCTAGACTTTATGTGTGAGAGAAATCACACAGAGGAAAGGCAAGTTTCTCCTTTCTTCTCGAGAAATCTGTAGACAGCCAGGTGTGTTGGCACATGCTTGTGATCCCAACACGCGGGGAGGCTGAGGTCACCCTGGGCTACATGGTGAGTTCAAGGTCAGCCTGAACTACAGAGCCACACCCTATATCAAAAACAAAAGAAAACAAGTCTGGAGATTTGGGAAAGTTTTGCATCAGTATCATTTATTTCATACATTATTTTTATTTTATATATATTTTATAAATAATTATATAAATTACATCCTCATCCATTCTACCTTCGGTATATACTTTGTTAAGAAATAAAATAAAATGAAATAAAAATCATGTATCAAGTAAATTACAAATAAAGAGTTTTAAAAGTGCTAAAGTTCTCCAAAAGGAAGTAAGTATGTTCATATATCCTCTATCCTGTAAAGGATATCACCATGTTTTACATGTCAAGGAACAGAATAGTATATTTATGTCAAATATCTGAAAACACGATGTTACATTTCAAGAATCCAGAGCAAATGATTTTTGTGCACTCTATTCCAGGAAAAGGAAAGAAAAATCACAATGCAACAGTTGTAGTTTGTACTAATTTAAAAGCTGATGATTCCTTCCTAAAAGTAATTTTCTTTCTTTCCTTGAAAATGTGGGTTGAGAGCATAAAAATAAAATATTTAATAATATATTGTTAAGAAATCATCTGAAATTCACTTTCAGACTTTGGAAAACAATCTAATTTGAATCACTGGTCTAAATAGGTCATTTAACTCAGAAAAATTAAAATTAGCTGTGCAGGGTCAAATCATTTTTCTAAAACATCTGCATCCTGCTTGTCCTGTTCTCTTCAAAGTCAAATCAGAGCTCCGTGTCAGGAACAATCATAATATATGAATTTATTCCAAATCTCAAAGTTATTCTGCTCTTGAGATGTTCATAGAAGTTAACATTATTTATAAAAACACAGAGGAAGGAGTTGTCCAGGAAGTCGGAGGTGGGTGGCAGATGGAGAAGGTGAATTCACATTTCAGGAGGACAATGGCATGAGGGGAGGGGTGCAACTCTACTGGTGCTCATTTCTTGCTTTTTACATACACCCTCTCACAGCAAATGCAAATCAAAGGCAGCCAAGACACACTTAATACAAAACGGATAGCTCCAAACCAGTTTAGTTCCCCACACTTTTCTCTTTTCTTGTATCACACTAATGGTGTAAGATCAGGAGCCCTAATGTTGTTATCCTGCACCTTTAAGGATTTAATCATCCTGAAACACTCTGGTAAACTCAAGCGTTAAATCCCTAGTCCCCTGAAAACCTTTCCAAGAACAGGACGAACAACAACAAAGTCTTTAAGATCCTTAAAGAATAGAAACACTAAAATAAAAGGCACATGTGAACGTTTAGCTGTCTAAGACATTCAATGTAAAATACATTGTACATTGTAAGATACAATGTAAGATACAACCAAACCAGCCATAAAATCAAAAGGACCCCAACAATGTGGGACACCAAGGTGTCCAGGATCTGAGATCCTTTGACCTCAGAAAGAAGGGCATGCAAAGTGGCTGGCACAGAAAATGGCACATAGGAGCCAATTTTGTTTCTGGACTCTTCAAAGCCACCAGGAAATGTACTCCCAGTCCCTTCTGGATGGAAAGGGAACTTTGATGCTCAGGGAAAAAGTACTTCCATATTCTCCAGCCAGCAGGGATCTATCATGGACAGGCAGAGTAATCAGAGATGCTAATGAACACGTCTTTCTCTTTGCCCTCTTCTCTGACGCCACTTTCCCCGCAAGGAGATCTCCAGAAATGTTGACTCCCTGGAGCCTGTTTGAAGATGAAATGCAAGGACCTCTCCGCCGAAGAGGAGGTGAAACTGAACGCTTGGCACTGGAGAATTGCTACGGAACACTCTAAGCTACATCTGTCTTAAAAGGGTGAAACCCAAACCAGAATTAGGATTTACACACATCCAGATGGATGATAAAATATTTATAACTACCCAGGACAGAAACAGTTTCACTCCAACTCCCCCACCACACACACACACACACACACACACACACACACACACACACACCCGAAGCCATGACATAAATGGTCCCAGAGAGGGGCAGGGCGGACTGGCTTGCTGATTCCACTAGAGATGTCTCCAAATTCGCTTTCCAGGTCCCGGTGTCAGTCCCTGCTTAGTCCCTAGAACGCCCTGCCTCTCTCTCTAAGCGGCAGCCCCTCACCCCGCGCCCCATCTTTAGTTCTGAGCGGACTCAGCCCAGCAGCCGCTCTGCCTCCCGCGCGCCCCTCTGGGTGGCGTCTCTCGGACTTCGGAGGTTCACGAAAGCTTTAGACCAGGCGCCCTGCGGGTCTGGGGAACCCCGGGGTTTCCGGCTTCCCGGGTTCCAGCCCGCTCGCCCCGAAACCCGGGAGGAGGAAGTTGCCCGGCGCAGCGGCGCCCGCCCCGTCCCTCCCACGCCCCCTCTCCGCCCGGGCGCCCGGGTCCCGAGGCTCCCGGAGGTGGGCGCGCACTCACCGGAGGTGAGCTGCATCCAGGCACAGATCTTGTACACCGTGGCCGTGTTGCAGAAGAAGAAGAGGGTAAAGCAAATGATGCAGGCGATGATGAGCATCATGGAGAGGCCGATGAAGAAGGAGGCGGCTTTGAAGGCGCCCGAGGGCAGCGTGGAGAAGTCCGTGAAGCTGCCCCTGCAGGTCAGCTCCCGGGAGAAGCCGTTGCCGATGCAGTAGTGGAAGAGCCCGAAATAGCCGGCTTGCGGGGTGTCCACGCCGTCGCCGATCCAGTAGGGCTGGATGAAGCACACCACGTTGACGATGGCAAAGCAGATGGTGAAGATGGCCCACAACACACCGATGGCCCGCGAGTTCCGCACATAGTTGGTGTGGTACAGCTTGGCAGCCTCCTGGGCCGGGAGCATCGCGGCGGCGGCGGCCCCGGGCATCTCCCCCTCCTCCGCCGCCTCGCGGTCTGCGCCTC